GTCTACACCGCACAACTACTTCTTCCGCACTTCTACGGGAACCTCATTGTCATCCACTTCAAAGCTCCCGACCTCTTCATAGTTCGTCGATACCCCCTCTTCCACATCCTCGATAGCCTCCTCAACGTGGGCCACTCTCTCATTGACACTGGCTATATTCGCACCGAGTCCGTCGATTTTCTTCTCAGTTTGTTTCCCGCCCTGTTCATTCGTCAAAACGCTGGCTGCGAGGGCCTTCTCGAAAGTTGCATGAGCAGTGTCAATTTTCTCATAGATCTGCTTTACTTGATCGTTTAGCGACACATGTGCATGTGTCTCGAAGGAGACGACTTGGTCCATTGTCGCTGGCTTGTCATCTATAATTGTTTTATTTCTTTCTTCTAATTTCTTCTGCTTCCTTTTAAGCGAAGTTGTGTCCGCTTCGACAGCCTTCACCTTAGCCTTCAGAGGGCTGTTGCGGTCCATCAGATATTGAATGTCAGCGATGAGCAGCTCATTTGTCTCTTTCATGTCCTTTTACTGGGTTTCCAGTGCGTTTATCTTTGTCTCCAAGGCATTATTAGACTTCTTCGTGGTCGTATGGTCGGTGTTTAGGACCATTTTCATGTCCTCCAAAGCTTTACACTTCCCCTCTACAGCCTTGACCTTTTCTACGGCGGTCTTGACTTGTTTCTCTGAGGTGTTGTTACTCTGCTTCAGATTGGCGATCTTATCCGTTGCAGACTGAAGTTTGCTGCCCAGTTCTGCATTCTTCTTTTCCAGAGCCGCAACCATCTTTTGGAAGGTTTTGATTGTTGACTTCACGGCATTGACCTCGTTTAAGGCGTTCTGCGTTTCAAGAACCGTAATTCTGTCGTCCAATCCTCTGTCTCTTTCCGCGCCAGCTTTAGATGTCTTCAAAACCATGATCTCGTTTTCCAGGGTCTTATTCTTGTCAGCCAGAGGCTTCATCTTCTCCTCCATAACCTTTGCGTTCTTCTCATCCACTGCGTTCGCCTTCTCCCCAGCCACCTTTGCCTTTTCTTCCGCGACAACAATCTTCTTCTCAAGGACCTTGATTTCATCTTCCATCGCCTTCGTCTTATCCTCACCAGCTTCGCACTTCTTCAATGCACTGGTCTCATTCTCCATGGCCTTGTTTTTCCCAGCAAGATGTTCAATTCTCTCCACCTCAGCAACGAACATCTCCTCAAGCCCTCTAACCTTCTCCCGAGCAGTAGTAGCATTAAATCTCCTCTCGAGCAACTTAACCATCTGATCCATCAACTTCTCCCCCTCCTTCAACTCACCAACCTCTCCCTCAAGATCTTTATCCCTACCCTCCAACCTCTCAACCCTCCACTCCAAATCTTCCATCAGAGCTTTAAAAGCTCTATTTTTCGCCTCCAGCTCCCTAACCGAGCCCCTCACAGAACTCAATCTGTTCAGCATCTTCGCCTCTTCATTCCCGACACGGGAGCGTTCTTCCGAATTCCGTGCCGTCTCCTTCGCTGTAGAACTTTCAAGCTCAGAGACTAGTTCACAGAGGGATGCCAAACGCGCCTGTACATTGTATCGCCGATGTCCTTGATTCCCGCGGGCCGCTTTCCCTGGCTTGGAGGGGGGACGTGTCCCTGCGCCATATCTCGAAGTTTGTCTAAACGCTCGTGGGACGAGGTGCTTTGATAGGTAAGTTCTAGTATTTTAGTCTGCGGCACATCGTGCGATTAAAAAGAAGGGTTGAACTGGCCCTTTGGACGAAGGAACGGGGGGTTCGGCGCCCAATCGATTTCTGGATAGGGGTAGGGTATGCTGTTTGCCTGCGTGCTGTGGGCGTTGGACTTGGGGTTCACGGGTGGACTGTATAAGACTGGAAAGGGATGGCGGACGGTCGATGATGGGGGTTCGTGTTCGCTCAACGCCTGTTTGTATTTAGGTGTGTTTGCCACCCCGAAGCTTGGTGGGAGGGAAAAATTTGGCCAGTAATGGGAGGGAACGCTTCCATAGAGATCTTTATTCTTGAAGACTGGGGTTGTTGGGATGCCTAGTATCTTTTCCCCAAAATTCCTGCCATTTATGGCTGGGTTTTTATCTGCCGGTGTGTTGCAGTGTTTGGAGGACGATGGAGGCAGTTGGTCTACTACGGACACGTTCTTTCGGTCAGAGACCGTATGCTTGAGACGGGGGATGCAAGATCTATCGTCTAAATCCATGTCCGTGTTCACAGGTTTCTTAACGCGCATGTATTTTGGTGTAAGTGAGTTGTGTTAGAATACTGGACTTTGGGGTGGGAGATGAAGTTGAGGGTAAAAAGTTGAAGATGTTCTTTGTTTGCTGCCGTTGCTAGTACGGGGCTAATGCAGGGAGCTATCCGACAAGCTCTGCACATTGAGCTGCTAATCCTTATATAGTAGTCCTATTTATCAAGAGTTTGGGACACAAACGAAATTGAACCATTAATACACTACTGGAATACTGTTACACTCTGTCCATTACTTCTTGTTCTTCTTATGCTTCTTCTTTGAGCTGGGCGAGGCAGACGGACTGACTTCCGCACCAAGATCGATGATAGAGCCCGACTTCATCATCGGATCATCCTCGGGAGCGGGGCGTAGGTTCTGGGACTTTTCCAGATTACGATCCTGCGTCTTGGCATCCTGTTCGGGGTTCTGCTGCTCCATGTCGGAAGAGCGTACAACCTTGGAGGCTTCAATGTTCCTATCCTGAACCAGAACAGGCTCGTCCGTCTTATCTGATTTAGCTGGCCCCCCTGTACTTTTGGACGCATCGTCCTCAGTCACAGCCCTGTTCTCCTTGTTTGAGCTGTCACCCTGGCTGTTGTTACCACGCCATGGGCTGCTGGGGCGACTTCCACCAATACTTTCCCTGGACTTGCGCTCAAAGGCGTTGACTTTGTCCTTCACTGGGCCTTTGGCTGCGTCGATTTCTGCCTTAGTCTTGTTCAAGTCTTCTTGAAACTCGTCCCAGACGCGACCAGACTTTTCGACAAGTTTAGATCCCCCTTTGGCAACCTTCTCTTCAGTCTTCTCACCAGCACGATTGATAGCCTGACGAGTCTTCACTGCGGCTTGGCGGCTGGCATCCTTAGCATTATTGCCACCACGGAAGTAACTTCTGTAGAAGAAGGACACAAAGAGCGCCGTCAGTGGCAAGAGGTAGAACAAGTTCAGGTAAACGGCAAAGGCCTCGCCGCTGGTGCCGATGCACTTGACTCTCTGCCACTCGCTGCGCCATTTCGTCTCGTACTGGACACGCTCATTAAACTGCTGAATTTCCTGCTTGATAATGGGGTCCATGAACCCTTCGGGTTCTGCCATACGTTCAGCTACACCCTCCTCCCCGACTGCTCTCAGCATCATCTTCTTGAAAAAAGCATTAGCAGCTGCCGTAGCTGTTGGGGCAGCTATATGGGAGATTTCGGAGCTCAGGCTCTTGATGGCCTCACGAATCGTCGTCTTGATCTGGTACGATGTCGAGACTGGAATGTCGTATTCGATAAACAGGTGAATAGCAGCAATCGAGGCACCTATGATAAATTGAGTAATTTGAAGAGTCGTCAGCGTGCGCTTGAGAGCTGGACGAACGCTGTTGCCCAAAGAGGTATAGATGTAGTAACCATACTGCAAAAGTCAGCTTGTAATTACCACGAGATTGGACCAACTTACCATTATTGCGTGAATGGCACTATTAAAGACAGTAAATATCCAGATGGGTGGGCCCATGTAGCGCATTCCGGCCCACATGGACATAATGGCACCGGCATGGTGAAAGCCATGCAATTCGTCCACCTCCTTCCCCTTGGCGAGAATGATCAAAGTGTCAAGGACCTCCCAGTACTTGCTGAGATAAAACAGCCAACCCCAAAAGGCCAGACCTTCGTTCCAGAGACGTCCAACATCGGTAGAATCCGGGGTCCCTTCATAGGCGAGACGAATGGCCGTGTTCTTGACCTCCCAAATGTTGGTAGTTGAATTGAAAGTCGCCGCATCTCCGAGTCCGCGAGGGCCATGGAGTTTGCAAAGCGCATCAGCCATGCGCGCCGGGGTTACATCATCCCACCCAGGCCAGATGCGTGACATGGTGCCTACCATAGCATAGAAGGTAACCGCTGAGAAGATGGCCAAGATGAGGTTATGCGCAAGCACGAACCAACTAAATGCCTTACATCGGGACATGCGCCACGGCTGATGGTCCCGCTTCTTGTTGTAATAGCTGAATGCCAGAACCAGAACCAAGTACACGATGACAAAGATCAACGGGACCTCGAAGCGGAGCGCATCATTGTAAATCTTCGCATCGATGCTGAACGGCGCGCGCAACGATCCATCGCCAACGGGAGGTGGAAGTACCGGAGGAAGAGGGTCGGGAGGCAGCTTGGGGGCCTCAGGCCTGGTGAAATGAATTGACATCGAATCTGTGGGTGGTTGGAACGTTGGTGATTGCAACAACGGCCACGCCCCACGTCGTAGCGAGCGAGGTGGTTTGCGAATCCTTCGATGTTGTGAAGAGTCGCGCGTTTTTAGCGCCGAAGATCGCGACACGCGCTGTGACGTCATTCGTCGGTTTTGCCTTGACGACAAGCATGACGTCGATCGGTGAGTTGATCAGTGACCACTATCGGTGGGGGTTCAAGTATAAACATGTTCAGGCTGTATCATACCAACAGCGATACCGCCCATCAGTTGGTATACATCATCCTTCGCTCCACGATACTCGCGCGATTGGCCATTCTTCAGTGACGTTCTCGTCAAATCCCGGTTTCTGCAACAGCGGTAGTGCCATGCATATGACGTAATTGCCAGCTAAGCTGAGTATCTCTTCCATCCTCTCTCACAATCGCTCTTGAGATTCTCGAAGCATGTAAAACTCTTTCGTGTGACATTCTGAACTCACAGAAGGCTCTGCAAAGGGGAGCGAGATACGAGTGGAACTCGGTGGTTCCTCGGACCAATTTCGACACCAACATGTATATCGATATCTCTCATAGTTCAGTATCAAATGCCTCTATGGCGCAGTGGTAACGCGTCGCACTTGTATCAAACATAAGATCATGCGAAGATCGGCGGTTCAATTCCGCCTGGAGGCACAATAAGGATTTATTTTTGATTTCGTTTCTCTTGAACGGAGAAACCTTTTGTTTTTGGCCCGTATGCAAGGATGTTATCAAAAATCAAGCATTCGTGCGTTCGAATCTGTGTCGTCATGTCTTGCACTGTGGGGTTAATTGTCCCCGCTTTCTAAAACCCGTTGGATGAAGTGAATTCACTATCCCATCTGCAGTTCCCAAAGATGCCAAGAATGTTTTCAGGGACCTGCGCCTGTGGTCGCATTTCCGTCTCATGCAACGAGATGCCCTCACGAACGACGGCTTGTCACTGCGTCCAATGCCGTAAAATCTCTGGAGGGCCTTATCAACTCTACACCGACGTTTCGCCTGAAAGTCTGACTTTCTTGGACAACACCACAAAACAGGAGATCAAAGGGAAGCTACCGCTAGAGTGGAAGGACAAAGCATTGTCTTTTACAAATCTTTCAAAAGCTGGGGAGAGGGTCTTCTGTATAGATTGTAAGAGCTTGATTTGGATGAGATATCTCAGCCATGAGGAATTTGTGGGCATTTCCGTGGCACTGATTGATGAGTCTTCTGTTGCGAACGAGAAAGTGAAGGAGAAGTTGGGTGTGATGAAGCATATGTTTGGGAGTCAGAAAGCTTTCTGGGACCATACTAGCTTCAAAGACGGCAAGGAAGTTGTACAGAGGTTTTCAGAGGGATGGGAAGAGTCCATATCCTCTTGGGAAAAGAACTGATTATACCATGAACATGGGAATGAAATGGTCGTTGAAGTGTACAGTGACTAACTGGTCTCAATCTTGGTCATCAATCGTCTTCTTTGGTTCGCTTAATTTGACGAGGTAGCCACCTTGGCCAGATCCGCAAGAGCTTCGCTACGCTTGTATCTGGCATCTGCGATAACACCTATTCTTGCGTCAGTAGCTGCCATACGACGGTGTCATAATACACTCACCAGCATCGGCATCCGAGCTAAAAGTAGCAGTCCACTGGACAAAGGTCGAGCTTTCTAAATCGCCAGTGGTGACAGGGAAACAGCGAATCGTGCTGAGAACGCTCGAGTAGGACAGCTCCGGCTTTGACGAGATGATTGAATAAGTGACGAAGTGGTTGATGGAGCTGTGTTCCTCCTGCTTCACTTCCAACACAGTTCCGTCCTTGAAGGTCCACTTGACGACGTCTGTATCATCGCTAGCCCCTTTGACGAATTCCGACTGCGAAAGTGCGGACCAGAACTTGTTAAATTCCTAATACGAGCGTTAGTGGCATTCGCTGTGAAATGGGTAAGAGGCTCGCCTGTAGTTTGATCAGGTGCCAGACATGCGAGAGAGGCGCACGAATGACGGTAGAAACTTCCACAGAGGTAGACGTGGGGATCGCGGTGGAAGACATTGTGTTTGGGTGATTACGGACGGACGGAACTTTTTGACAGCGAACTGTTTGCCCCGCAGACGTCATAGACCCCCGCTTGACCTCGTGGAAGCGGCAGGAGTTGTTTGCTTGAGCATGGGATTCCCTGTCGGCAAATAGTTAAAATCATAATCGTACCTGTAGTAGACTAGCATCATTAAATCTAGGCCTCCTAATCTGCTCTAGGAGCTCATCCTATCCTGGTAATGGCATCTTCTTCAACCTATTCACGTTAGCAATTGTTCATGTTCGTTCAAACAATTCGTCACTAACCTCCATGTCCTCCAGGCTGTCCTGCTGCGAGATTACGCGTAAAACATTCTTTTTACTGCTTTCTTGTAGCTCACCAGCCAATAGAAGCTCATCCAGAATGAAATAAGCCTTCTGGAAGTTGAAGATAATGTCCAACTCGCAGACATTGCCAAAGAACCTGTCCATTTGTTCCACGTAGCGGTGCATTATCTCGAGGGCGATGAGTTCGTTATCAGTAGGATCGATGGCAGCGATGAAGAACAATGAGGCGTAGCGGCGGTAGACTACCTTTGTGTCTGAACTGGATCAGCCGGGCACGATGCCAATCAACTCGCTTACCTTTGTACTCGAGAAAGTTGCACATGCGCGTGCGGCGGGCAAGGACGAGCTGAGAAACATCCTTGATGATCTTGGCCTTATCCTTAGGAGAGAGCGTCGTAAACCACTTGGCGAGTCGCTAAATCGTTAGACGAGTCGTTTATCAGATGGATTTCGCGACGAACCACTTTGCCCTGGCGGGAGAGCAGGACAAGGTATCTAAGGTAATGTTAATCGCGGGATCTGATTTGAACAGCAGCACTTACTTGATAGCCATTTGGACTGTTCAATGCGCATCAAACGTCCCCTCTGTCAGGGCTGGCCTGATGGGTGGCTGTTGCGCTGTGGGCGGAACAGTTCCGCTCGCGACGCTTGGATGAAAGACACGATGATTGCAAGCGACATGGACGAAGCATGAACACCCCTCCACTAGAGGAGCCACTCGTTGGCCTACAGCCACACGAGGAAACGACCCAGAAGGTACCTCCTCGCTCGCGAGGTTCATGATTACTTAGTAGTGCCCTTGCACACTTATTTCTTCGCGTTCTCGTCCATCGTGCGAGCGACACTTTGCTGGACGTAGACTGTCCCGTCTTTGATCGTTGTATCTCGACCCAGCACGGCATAGTTCATAGTCGAGGTCTTGGTTTCCTCTGCTATCCTATAGTGGCGCCACACTGTATATCCACTGGCTCCACTGTGTATCAATTGCTACGTAGTGTTCCCCTCGCCCCTACTTATAACACTGTACACTTATCGGGAAGCCTCCTTCATGCTGCCGTCTACAAGAATACAGATTGTGTTTCTTTTTGACAGGTGTAGAACGTTCCCCCCACTTTTGGCTCTCTCGCCTCGGACTTCAGGGGCTTGCATGTGGACTTTGTGCGGTGCAACCTGCCATGCAGGCCTCAAACCAGCTGCAGATACCCATCAAAGATGAGCTGTTAGAGCCCCATTAGACGAAGAAGAAAATTATTGGTCCAAACTGACTGACCGCGGGCCGAGGAAGGAGGGATCGAATTATACCTGTCCAGCAGAGCTTTTCACTACGAACAGCCACCAACATCAACATATAGACAACAGCAGGTCAACGCAAGATTTGCTAATAAATGTACACAAACTCGTCATTCTTGCGGTCCTACAAATGTCAGTCAACTTAGAACAATTGGCGACATAAACTTACCGTCACATCCATGAGGCCTTGAATGCCAGTGTCGGCCTCGTGGTATTCCCGAGCCATGCTGTAATCCTTAATATAGGCGGGCTTGCCATTCTTGACCCTCTTCTTCGACTGCAACTTATTCAAGAACTTGAGAACGACAACCTGCAGGCCAATGCACACAACCAGCGCACAGAAAATGCCAAGCACGGCGCGCAAGCCGGGTAAGTACTCTGGTGCATCTCGACTGTTGAAGAGCAATGGACCGATAATGTTGCCCGCGGCAGAGGCAGCGCTATAGACGGACATGACGGCCGACTTTTTGGTGGTTCCAGCCGTGTTACCGACAATCCATGCCACCACCAAGGGATTCCCGCCGAAAAGGAAGGCCAAGAGGTAGTACCCGACTAGAAGACCCGGTTGAGCTGATTTTGTTCGAGGAAGGGCGTACAGAATGGCTGCGCCTGCAACAATAGGCAGGGTTATGATAAGCAAGACGACAGATTTGAGACGGAACCTTTGAGCTGCCCAAGATGAGATCAAAATGACGATCCATTGGCAAAAGCCGAAAGGTATATTCAGCAGCGTTGTGCGGTATTTATCGTAACCCAATCCTTTGAGGATTAGAGGTCCAAACGTGTTGGTTACGCTAGCACCGACGTTCAGAAGCAGCGACATGGCGATCCAAAGATACGTCTTTGGATCAAGGACCAATTCCCCAATCTGTGCCCATTTAAATTTACGAATACCAGTCCCAGTCTGATTGGCACGTAGTCTCTCGACAGCCTTTGGTTTCTCATCCTCGGTCAGGAAACGAGCAGAAGGAATGTCATTGTCCAGTCTCCAATAGACGAAAGGAGCGGAAACAATGGTCAACAACCCAACAAACAGAAAGATACTGCGACCGTCAGCGCCGTCTTGGCTTGAAACAGTGTCCTACATTCGCCAGGATTCCAGCCTATCAGAGTGGATGTGACCGAAGCCGTACGACAAGATGGAGGCTGCCATGGTAGCCAAGCCATTGGTGCCGTACCACGCGGCAACACGCAGCGGCTGCTCGGCACGTCGAAACCACTGTGAGGTAATGATACTAAACAATGGAAGACATCCAGCCTCAAACAAACCAAGGAACAACCTAGTGACAATTAAGTCGCCAAAGTTATTAGCAGCAGCCATCGCAGCCTGAGCAATGCCCCAACCAAGACAGAGACTCGGCATCAGAATGCGAGGAGGAACTTTGACGATTAGAAATGATGACAATGGTTGCCATCCAAGCTGTGCCATTGGGGCAACAGAGCCAATAAGTGAGAACTGGCTACCTTTGAGATGGGTTGACTTTTGCAGGCCAAAGGTTGCTCCATAGCCAAGCACTGTCTTGTCAAGAATCTACTATCGAGGTCAATGTCGAGCTACGAACATCGAGTCTCAGATCAATACCGACCTGCAAAAAGTAGACCCATACTAGAAGTGTTAGTATGGTTTTGTCTGTCTTACGACGGATGCGTTTATTCTCCTCTTCGGTCAAAGTAACATGATGACCAACAACAAGATCTACTGCGGTTCCACTATTCTTCCCAAGCGTCTCAGCCTGAGCAGTCAATACTTTGCCGTCTTCCATTGTGTGTTAATCCGAGACATGCCTTGTTGGCTACCGAAGTGTCATGCGGGGAAGGACGTGCGCTGTGTAACCATGTGACGGGAAACGGCAACGGAGGCTGGGAGTAACAGACAACATGCTCTTTGTCACAAACAGGTGGTCACAGGCAATGGGTGTATCACAGTAGACAGTCTCACTTTCGCATTATATCGCACTCCACATGATGTGGGGGCATGATGGAGACCAAGGCTTTCGGTAGCGAAGCGGCCGGCGTCTGAA